AAAAAAGTTTACCTTGGGTGATCGCCATATTCGCACTATAGTAAATTTATATAGTAATCTGAGTCACATTTTACTATGATTATTCTTTAGGTGACTGGCAGATCATCAATTAAGAGAAAGGGAATATTCTTATCAAAATATATATTAGATAGTTTTATTCAAATAAAATTGGGAAGTTGAAAGGAAATATTAATGGAATATATAATATGGATATATTTTCTTAAATTCTATTAGCAAGTATATATATGCAATTTAAAATTATTTTAACTGTATATTATTTTCCAGGTTCAACTTAATTACTGTAAAGAATTTTATATTGGTTTTTATTATCTTAATGAAAGTTTTACATTGCAATATTTTGGAATTTATTAATAAACAAGAAGATATTGATTTAATTATAAAGGTTAGCATTAAGGTTATGGGTTGACTTTGCGGCATAGTATATATGTAAGATAGGGTACCCAGGATTATGATCCGGTAAATGCCAAATTATGCATCTGGTAAATTGCAAATTATGCGAATTCTATGAATTTTGAGTTATTAGCCAATAAAGATTCGACAAGTCAGGTGATTACAATTACATATACAAGCCAGTTTATTTATTTAACCAATCAATTTTTGTTTACATGTGCATGAAAATGAGCAAATTATGCGAATTCATATAGTAAAAATTGTAAATTATGCGCATAATATATCACATCATAATCCTGGACACCCTAATACAGTATAAGATTATGTGATAACTAAATACCATGTCAAGGGTCATGCCAAAAATGTTTAAAGTGCTAAAAATCTATAACTTTTATAGATTTGGGATTTGGGTTTGGAATTTGGGTTTGGGATTTGGGTTTGGGATTTGGGTTTGGGATTTAGCCGAAGTTTGGGATTATGACAGCTTAGATGAGATTTTTCCAGTTTGGGATTTGGGATTTATCCAGTTGGGATTTGGATTTGGGTGGGATTTTTAAAATTTATAGTTTTGCCAACAAGTATACCTACTATATTATTATAGACACTTTTTGGGTAGCCATTGCTCAAAATCGGGTAAATAACTGCAGCACAAAATTAGGGTCACGTGCTTGGTGAATCTCAAATTACAACATAGTAAAATTTTGTACGTCGTTAGGTTATAAAGAAAAAATACAAAAACTTGGTTTTTTTATTTGTATGAAAAGCTAAATTTTAGGCTTTTTTTTTTTTTTACAAAATAAAGAAACTAATCATATATTCATATTATATAGGTTTACCTTTAACTTTAATGCAAGCGGTAATACGATCAGACATCAAAACCAAGAGAAACAGGCATGATTAGTAAGTCTATTACCATACTTAACAATGCGACTAAATATATAATATTCCATACCTCAATTCTTATATAGCCTATACTAAATCTAACAAAAGACTCTAAAAAAGATAAACTGTGAATTTATCACATCACAAAACATATCTACAGTTTCAAAAAAGCCAGTTTTATGGAAGCAAGGAGACAAATAACTCTAGAAGGCAATACGAGATCCCAAGACTTCTTTGTATAAATGGTCTAGATTTTTTTTTTTTTTTTTGTTTTTTAATATTTAAAAACTGGTAATAATCAGAAATAAGTTTAGACTGTGGTTTTCACTAGTGATTAGATTCTTGAGACTAGTATACTCAGAAGGGTTATGCAATCTTGGACATCTAGTCTTTTTTTTTTTACCCTTTTTTCTGCCTTCAAGCTACTTACCTTACGAAACTCCTTTGTTATTTTTGATGCCACGAACTTTTCAGAGTCGACTTCAGTTAAACAAAATTGTTGAGATCATAGAGTTTTTTATTCAATATCAAGTTTTATAGTTGCCAATCATTGTTGTAGGGAAAAAAGATGAACTTAACTTTTCTTGCCCAATTGCACCCGATCCGTCATATAAATGTGCTTTTTTTATATTGTATAATGCTGTTTAGGTTTTACGCAACATTTGAGTAAAATTTGAAATGATTTGCGACAAAATTCGATTTTTGGTGAATTTTTTTTTAAAAAAAAAATTTGGCCAAATCGATTTTTGTACAAATCCAAAAATAGTAATTTGTCTTACCTTCTGCATAACTCCGGCATAACCTAATGAAATTGAACCAAATTTTAGTATATTGTACGTTTACGAGAAAGATTCCAAGCTGTAGCGTTTAATTGGTCTTCAGGACTCAGCTGACAATTTTTGAGTATTTCCTCAAAAAATTCTAAAGCTTTGAGA